AGAGTTCCTCAATTACCTTTTTCCTAGACAATTTTATTATATGTCCTGTGTGGTAGCTCCTTCGAAACTCCCCCTTGTAAACCTTTTCTCTATTTGACCTAATAACCTGCACTCATCATAAACAGCCTTTTAAATGTGCATCAATTAGTTGCAGTTGTCTAAAATCTGCATACCCAATGTAGAGACAGTAATTGAAACAAATAAAGCTACTCAATACCATTTTTAAAAAAGTTGAAAAATTAGACTTAGACAGGGGACCTCAGAAATTTGTCAGGGTAACAAAAATTTATAAATCCAGGTACATGTTCACAATTGGGTATATTTTCAGAAAAGACCTGTGAAGATCGCCTTCAGTTCATCTTGAGGCCAAGTACAGTAGCTAGTGAAGAAGGCTAAGGCAAAGTTGTAAACTGTCTGACAGAGCACAGAAATTCTAAACAAAATGGCTGGAAGACTTGTAACTGTAACTGTAACTGTCCTCCCGTTGTTCATCAATTTGCTCGAGCGGGCCCAGTAACGTCTCCATCGTGAGACTCGTTACTGTGTTTGGCATATCGAATACGTCACAGGGAGCTTGCCAGGCTTTGTCGTGCGGGTGAGGTACTCCTGGTAGCTTGCCGGGCTCTTCGAGACGGGCAGAGGAATTGAACTTGGGTCGGCCATGTTGGCTGTATGCAAGACAAATGCCCTACCACTGTGCTATTGTTCCAGCCCAGGGCTTTAGGCCAAATATGTATAAATCAGGTTATATGATTTCTTTTCTAGTTACAGCAAAAAGAGAGAAATAATAAAGACACCACTAATTTAGTGAGCTTCCTGGGCATTACACAGACAGTCCAAAGGTACCTATTCATATGGGTGTTATTTTGTATCCCACTACATTGAATCCACTGGGTCCAGCATTCATCTCCCTTCATAAGCACTCATACAATATAGCCTTCAATACAGATTACTAGTTGGTAGAAATGAATATTTGAGATAACTATTCAAGACTTCTATCTCCGAGAAAGTGAGGAAATCTTGGGGCCCAGAATTGTTAGAAGAGTTCACTTACAGCTATGATTCAGAAAGGATGAGATGAAAAATATTGAAAAAATCTATACTGTATCTTTGTCCTCTATCAACTTGTTTAGTCTGCAAAATATATACTCTCATTCAGGAAAAGGAATTATCTTAACATTTTATTTTTGTTGATTGATGTGTAAAGACACAAAAACACATATTGCTTAACAATACAAATAATTTGCACCTGAAATTCATCTGCTTAGTCCCCTGGAGCCCTACAGATGGAAATATTTATAACAAATACAGCTGTGCTGGCAGTACTATTGCTTCAGAGAAAACTCAATATTGGTTTATGATCCAAGGATCTTATAGTCCAAAGAAATTAGAACGGAGTTATGAGAAACCTGGTTTCTAGTTTGGGTTTGTTTTTCCCAAAACAAAAAAAAGTCTTGTACTTTTCAGATGTGATGGCTTTGTTATCTTTGTTCTTGATTTTGTTTTTTCTTTTGGTTATTTTATTTTTTAACTCTAATGCTCTTTCTCTTAGCTAGTCATAAGAACCTACCCAGGTTTAGAGACCCCATTTAAATGTCACCTACTCTGTAAAGTTTTCCAGTCTTTTACCCTCCACCCTATATATCCCTGTCACCCTCAATTTTGTTCACACAGTCCTTTTGTTCTCTCTTGATTACACTACCACTTAAGAGTGATGTCTGTGCTTTAAGGGTTAAGTGCCTGCTTTAGTCATCAAACTCTCTCTCTAAGCGCTTACTGAAAGACCAAAAAAGTCTGAAAACACAGAAAAACATAAATTTTAAGAACATTAGTTATGTTTTCAAATAATACATCGCATATATTTTCTTCAATCTCTAGTTTGGTAGGCTAAATGCTTCCAAATTTAAAGACAGAAGTGTAGTCATCAATTTGGATTTTTTTAACTTTTTAGAGTTCCTGGATGTTTTAGACATATACCATCTCCAAGTTATTGAGTCATGTTGGCATGTCTATAAACTTAGCACCTCCTCTCTTTCATCTGTCAAGTGGAAATGTCACCTGATTTATAATTCTTTCAGTGTTATCACAAAGGTACATGAGAAAATGGCTATGCAAACCACTAAAGCAGTAAGAAACTACAAAATTCTTTTTCCATGAAATATACAAGGATTTACTTTGTGTCCATATTGTACCACTTGAGTATTCGGACTTTGGCTAACCCCATCACAGCTGCAATAAAGAAGATTCTCCATGAGCTGCTTAAGAGGAGAAGCCAAGTGGCTGATTACAGCTTAGGGCCCTGCCACAGCCATCAACATTTACCAAAGGGATGTTGGACTTCAAGTTGTTTCCAGTTGTGAAGGAGGAAAGTCATGGCCTCAGCCACCTGCTTCCTGTTTCCACCATGACTCACACCTTTCAGGTCTACTGAATGGAAATTCAGATGGAAATTGCTTACGCCCACTGCCCAAGGACCCTAAAGGTGCTAAGGTTCAGGTAGTTCTGTCAAAGGAGAATAAAGAATCTGATATCTAAATCTCAAGGGTACTGAGGCAAGGCAACAAAACACTTTTTAGTTTATTCAGTAAAAAATGTGTGTCCTCCACCACAGATTTGATTAGCAAGACTCTATTGTGCCCTAATAGGATGCACTGTCTTTTACCTTCTGGTCCCAAATGCACAATTGTAATTTAACTAAAAAGAAACAAAAAACTTAAATCAAAGGACATCCTAGCAAATAACTGGCCTGTGCTCTTCATTTGTATCATATCCTAATTTCTACAACTGCTCTCAAAGACAAAAAGGAGAAAACTGAAGGGCATTAGTACATTAAAGATACTAAAGAGACATGACATCGAAGGCAACTGTGGTGATAGATTGGATCATAGACCAGACCAGAAAAAATATTATTGAGCAACTGATAAAATCTGAATGTGCACTGATAATATATAATGGAATTATCATAATTGATTTCCTGATTTTTATAATGCTATGGTGATTACAAAATTTTAAAAATGCATATTTTAGAAGATATTTACTATAGTATTTTGGAGAGTATAGTGGCCATATACAGAGCTGTGTGACACCTCCAAATCTCACAATAATAAAATTCTAGTAGGAGCACACCAAATTAGATAGGAAAGTAACATAGTCACAGTCAGTCACGGTCCTCCCGTTGTTCATTGATTTGCTCGAGCGGGCCCAGTAACGTCTCCATTGGAGACTTTGTTGTTACTGTGTTTGGCATATCAAATACATCACGGGTAGCTTGCCAGGCTCTATCAAACTAAACTCAACAAACAAAAAAAAATAACACAGAAGGCTCAGCTAGCAACAAACAGCTTAGTAAATTTTCAGACAAGGACTTAATGACCCCATGGTGAGATATAACAATTAAGATAAGAGGTTCCAGCAATGCTGCCACCTATTAGCTTATTATAGTCCTCCAATGGCTAAATTAGAATTTAGCATTGGGTACAAAAGGAAAATAAAATAACCCATACATAATAAGCCTATAAAACCCCACCAGGAGAAACAGTATAATAATGTCAGCACTCACCTCAGTGTGTTTATTAAAAATGATAGGTCGTCGACCTAAATTCACTGAATCTGTCCATTGAAAACCTAATCATTTAAGTATACATAGCAAATGTCCAAACTTCCTCATGCTCTTTAAGGAAACTGCTGATGGAAGGTGCTGGGGTAAGATCACACTCCCAGAAGGAAAGTAAAGGTGGAAATTAGGGCAAAATTAAGGTAAGAATCAGTGCAGCATTGGTTAAATGCAAATAGTACAACAGAGTAGGCTACTTTGCATATAGAATTTCCTCATTAATAAGCTTTGTTGCTTAGAAGAGTAAGTGAAAGCTAATGTGAAAGCAATTTAAATTCATTTTACAGTCTCTGGATAGCATTGACTATCCATACAGATCAGTAAATCCTCCTTTGCAAAGTAAACCAAGAGGCTCAGAAAGACAATTACAAAGTTCTTATCGGGTGCCAGAAGTTTTAAGGGACCATTAAAGGAATAGAATAGGCATTAGAAGTACTGAAGCAGGCAACAGTCAGAATAACCAGGAAATTTAAATCCTGAAATGTAAAGGGAATAATGTTAAGCAGTAATGTGCAATTAAACATTTAACAATTTTTCTGTGAGAAAAATAAAAGCAAAATCAGCCACCTTGATTTTTTATGATTCCTATGGTACAAATATTCCTACTACAGTCCATTTCAGACTATACAATCAGCAATGCATATAATCAGATCTCATGAGCTAGTGTTAAAAGGTTTCAGGATACCAGTGGTGATGACCTGGTGCCAGTACTGTATCTGCCATCACTTAGCTATGTTATCTGAAAAAGTAACTTCATCTTTCTAAGTCTTAACTTCCTCACTTATAGAATAACAATCACAGAAGATTAGAGAATCAAGTGAAACTATAAAATATCTTCTAGCCACAAGAATCTATGATTCTGTGGAGTTGGCCATATTGATGGCTTTTTGTCTTTCACCATTTCACACCAAGTGTTGTAAGTAGGGGTAAGGAATCATTCAGGAAGGTAAGGAAGAGTGTGATAATTATCCCCACAAATTATACCCACATCACTTCAGAAATGCTATTTTTATGTCACTTCCACTGTCTGGGGCCTGGGGAACATAAAGTTGCCATCAGCATTTTCTTTTACATGTTTATGAATTGGAGAGAAAAGTGTTCCACCCATATCCTGAGGCTTTGGTGACACTTTCACTCAGAGTAGGTGGTTGGGATATCTGTACCTCTTCCTTTTGGCTAAATGTAACATGATGGAAATAAACTAAGGGTCAGAGGAATAAATCACAGTAACTAGACATTTGGCCTCTGCTGGTCCCAGTGGTTAAGGACCATGTAGGGAGATTTTGGCTTTGCTATGCTGAGGAAGTAGATGACAAAAAAACTTGTCACCTAGCCATTAAAAAATTCAAGGGTAAAGAGGTTTAGTAAGGTATAAGAGACATAATACCTTGTGCTTCCGGAGGCTGCCAGGACTTGTGGGCGTAGAGATGGGAGACTGCTTAGACTTGGGGGTAGAGAGCTGGCTGCTGGAGGTTCCGTTTGCTAGCCCAAGGCAAGAGAAAAGGAAGGGATAAAAATCAACAGCATTACAAAGGAACAAATTATCCTTCCCCTCTGAAAACACTAAGAACATTCAAACAAGGTACACAGACAACTGAGTGATTTGATGAGTGGAACAAAGGTGAAAAGAAACACATTCCTCAGAAAGGCAAGAAGTGCAATCCTCAGTTAATTAGATCTCAGCCCTGTGCAAGACAAGGCGTAATCCTCCCACTTGTTCCCTCCCTTGAGTGCTTCCAATTACAGGCTCTGTTTCTTTTCAGATCTTTTTTATATTCATTCCCAAGTTTGACCTTAACAGTATCTATGGGAGGAGCTAGTCTGGGAAAGTATTATTTTGTTTGTTTCAATTCTATAAGTAAGATAAGGGAGATATAAAGAGGTTATGTGCCTTACCTTAAGAGGGTGATTTGGACCAGGGCACATTTTTGTTGGTAAATGATGTGGCAGGTGGCAGGACAGTACCCTTATCAATCTTTCAGCCCCCTTTCTTATTCTGGCCATTGCTCCCTCTGCCCCCCAAACCTCTATTCTGCACACCCTTCTCTTTCTTATGCTCATTGACAAGAACACAAAGAAAGAGAAAGAGGACTACTCAAGAAGAAAATTGAGAACAAATTGAAGGTGAAAGTTCCATGACAAGATGGTAGGGAGAGAAGCAAACATTGAAACAAATTGGGAATGGGGGAGAGAGGTGACTTGGAAGATAAGGTAATAACTTAGGACAATGGTTAGGTCTAAAAGTAGATGACAAAAATAGGTAGGTAGAAAGACATAAAGACTGAGAAAAGGAGAAAATGGTGACCTGTTTGTCTGTAGTCAATAAAATGCTGGAAAATAGATGTTTTAGCTTTTAATATTTTCATATTCCATCATGTTCCCAAATTGTTCCATATTTCCTTGCAAAGGACAATTGAAATACTTAATCATGTAAAAATGTGGTTTACCCAAATGAAGCAATCAAACTTTTCATTTTTTATGGTTGTTGGGCCACACCCAGTTATACTCAGGGCTTACTCCTGGCTCTGCCCTCAGAGATCACTCCTGCTGGAGCTCAGGGACCACCAAGGGTATCAGGGACTGAACTCGGGCTGGCCACATGCAAGGCAAGCACCTTTCCCTGATATTCTATTGCTCTAACCCCAGCAAATAAACAGCTTTCAAAGTGGACTCATGGTCAGACATTTCATGCTAAATTTAAGATTTCTTTCTCCAATATCAGGAACTCCCATCGATAAAGTGAGATATTCTGAAATGCACTTTAAAAATAAAATAAAATATCACCAAGTTGTATAGGGAAAGAAGTGAAATAAGAATACAGGGATAGAAAAGAAGGGAGGGAAAGAGAAGAGGGGAGGAAGAAAGAGACAAACAAAGAGAGACAAAAACCATAAAAACTGTAAAAGTTAAGCAGCAACCTGGTCTGAGAATATTGCTGTAAAGCTTAAACTGATATTTCATGAGAATTTCTTGAGGATATACTTCTACATCAATTGTGGTCATGTTTTCTTGCATTTGAAAGTTCATGTATCAACTGTTGAAATGGAAGAGGCATCAGTGTGGTAGTTCCTGGTTCTAAGTAAGTGCAAGTGATCTGAACAATGAGGACTTATGCATATACTTTCTTGCTTTACTTTAGTATTCACCCAGTCTCTCACCCATTCATAGAGAAAAATTATCACTGTCAGGGCTTCCTGGAAGTCATGTTTTCTTTTAGCCAGTAGTTTTCTCTAAGCCAAGCAAAGATATTGAGATTTTAGAGATATATAAGTCTACTGTGGTGGGGAGGCAAGCAAGAATACATACTATACCCATACTATACCATGGCCATGCAATGGCATATTATTGGATTTCAGAGGAGAGATTTTGTAATTGAGGGAGTAAAAGAGAGATAAGAGGAGAAAACATGTGAGAATATCTTTAAAGATAAATCTGGGATAGATGAATCTATAGACAGAAAGTAGGTCAAGGGTTTCCAGTAGCTGGCTTGTGAGGACCAGGGTGGGGTGGTGGTATAGGTGTTAGGAGGAATTGAAGAGAATAGGCCAAGATATGTGAAGTTTCTTTAATGGTGATAAAGGTATCTAGCATTTAACAGTAGTGATTGTTACACAACTGCGTGACTAAAACCTACATTTAATTGTATATTTTAAGTGTGTGAATCCTTAGTGATGTGAATTACATCTTAATCAGGCCATTTCTTAAAAAATTGAGTTAGGCAAGTAAACTAAAAGGATAGTCTACATTTTAGAATTTCACAAGGAGGGACAAAAACGGGAGGTAGGAGAGAATACAGCACAGCATATTTACAGAAGTACACATATCTCTAAATGGTCCAAGCATAAGGTGCCAGCAGTGATTCCTAAGAGCTGATTGGAAAAAAGAACTAATGGGCAAGGTGTCTTTTGTGTGACCCAACCAGAAAATTTGGATCAATTTGTGAAAGAAATTTGGAAATGATGCCATCAAATTTATATTTTTAATCTAATTTTTCTTTCCAAAATTTTATTTTATTAAATAACCATGAATTGCAAAGTTATTCATACTTTGGGTTTTTACACAAAATATCCCCTCACCAGTCTGCTAAAGTGTCAGCTTCCTTCCAACATTCCAAGATTTTGTCTTCTGCCCCCAGCCCCCAACCCTATACCCAGCCTGCCATCTTAACAGGTACCTTTCAAATCTGGTTATTAAAATTTGTGTCTCAAGATTTCAGTGTTTTGACTCTGCGATTTGGATCTTTAACTCTATAATTCCTTAATATGACCAATGTGCCCGGGTCCCCTTTATCTCTGTCACCATTGCTTCTCATCTATCTCTTTTCCAACCACCCCCTTTTCTTTCCTTCTCCTCATTAAACTCTAGGGTCATAGAGTAACTGGATGAGGACTTAAAAAACTATTACTACACTTTCCCTGAACAGACTAAAAGATAGGGGAGGATAAAGGTAGGAGCAAAAGTGATTTTTAACCTTTTTACAGTTGTGAATTGGCAAGTGTCCTAGCTCCCACTATACTTGTACCATCCTCAGACCAGTACATAATAACCACTGTGGTAGACAGTGGTCTTCAATCTTTTCACACCTGTGAACAACCATGGGTCCATGGACTGGTGATTGAAAACCACTGGGTTACGTTTTCACCTTGTTTCAGAAGAAAGATGATGTGAACTTAAATGAAAGCAATGGCTATGAAGATACATGACATAGTGGTAGACAGAGACATAAAGTTTAGGCAAGTTTAGAGTATTATATGAACCAATATACCCTCTTTGTCACCCATAAAGAATGATCTGTGCCAAACCTGTGGGAGCTAAGTTTTGACAGGGCAGGCTTTCACTAAATAAAGGAGGCACTTTGCAAAAGGCAAGTCTATGAAGTCACAATAGGACAACATAGTCAATTGCTCTGCAGGAAAAGGAAATAGCTATTGGAGGAGGCCCTCCGGCACTATAGATGGTCCAGTAGCATTCAAGATAAGGGGAGTAATCATAAAAATCGCTCTGAGTCAACATAGTAAAAATCATCCTGACCTCAGCCATGAAGTGTAACAGAAATCTTATCTAGGCATCGCTAGGTAAGTTCCCTCATTTTGTTTCACAATAGCCGTATCCTTTTGAAAATCAGATTCAAGTTTCCCAGCATTCTTTTAGCCACATTATGAAGGGGTAGCTATTAAACTCCCAGTAGAAAAGCTCTCTCTTTCACTCATCTACTTATCTAGCTGAGAATGAGTTCAAAGATCTTGCCAAAATGTGAGAAATTGTTTCCTACAATAATGACTGTAATGAGTCATGGACTTAGATATGTATATTTAGGTTCTTTATTGAATTCTAGTTTTTTTGCAGTATCCTCTGATATTTTCTCCCCCCCCAAACTTTAGGGGTAATGCTTATTCCATCTATGTCTCTCTATATTTTATGGACATGTGTGTAGGTTTGTATTTTCCTCCAGCTATTCAATCTTAAATTTTCTGTAAACAAAAGGCTTTATTTTGTATCAACATCCAAGAAGCATTTTGGAAATCAATTTTAAATAATTTAACTGTGAATACTTCAGTCTTGAAAACTGCAAACTTCCCTGATGGAATGAAACTCAAGATGGACAGAGAAATGAGAAAATTGTAGAAGTATACCAGCAAATGTAGACTTGTTGCAGGAAAAAATTTCTTCACTTACAGACTAGATAAAAATGTATTCAAACACATTTATTTCTTCTATGAGTTACATGGAGGACAAACATGGCAGGGAGCCATTGATACGGATTCTGCTTTCTTTTTAGTGTTTTGGTTTGGGGGCTACACACTGAAGTACTCAGGGTTTACTCCTGGTTCTGCTCTCATGGAACATCCTGGTGTGCTTGAAGGAACATGTGAACTTCCAGGAATTGAACTTGGGTTGGCAAAGTGCAAGGCAAACACCCTACCTGATGCACTATGGCTCCAGCCCCTTTTATCTGCTTTTATTTTTTAAAGATTCTAATGCTAATTTATATTAAGTGTTAAAATTAGCAGCACAAAATAACTATAAATAGAATACGGTCAATAAACTGCATTGTATTGAACTGGCAAATCCATTGGAATGTTGTGACATTTCAGAGCCCGGCAAGCTACCGAGAGTATTCGATATGCCAGACACAGTAACAACAAAGTCTCCAATGGAGACGTTACTGGGCCCGCTCGAGCAAATCGACGATCAACGGGAGGGCCTTTACCTTTACCTTCAGCTTTAGAGACTAGAAATAACATTGTCCCTTCTCCCACCTCAGAATCACAACTGTGTTTTACTGTTGTCATCTTTTATTTGCACATAGTCAAAATACTGCCATTCCTTTATTCTCATCATAGATTTATTTTCCCTCTCTACAACAAGGTGTTACATGAGATTTTCAATTGCTTAGATAAGCTTATCAATCATATCAGTAAATAAAAATAACGCTCACTTTTTACTGAGTAATGACAATACTAAGTCTATAATAGTCCAGT